AGTGATTTCTATACACTAAGTTCTCAGTCTATAAAACTGCAAGATTAGAGAGCCCTCCTGTGAACACACATGGACGAACAGGATCTAAGTTATACCTACAAGGAATGAAAATAGGCCAATATCCCAGAATCTCTATGTTGGACAGCAGTAGAGAGATCTCTAATTCTCTGCCCTCAGCATAAATCTCTTCTGAAACATTTGTTTCTGTTAAGACCTTGAATAGCTTCTCCTTATGTTCTACCCTTGATAGAAATTTATGTCAGCAAAAGATAACCTAATCTTTTTTATAATACTATGATTTCCAGAAAATTCTTCCTTTGAATTGACTCATTTCTGTTCTCCTTCATAAATGCTATCAATAGCTCTCCCTCTGGAACCACATGAAACAATGGCAATAATACCTTTATATTTAAAAAGTTCTGACTATATGACTCTATGTACACTATATTTTTTAGTTCCCACAACATTCAAAATAGGTAGTTTTTATTATCCTTACGTTTCCTATAAAGAAATGGAAAGCAAAAGAAATTGTGTAATATTCCTCAGTCAGCGCATGGTGACAACCAATATCTGAACCAAGACTTGTGTCTCTGTCTGTGTCTCAGGCTCTTTTCTCTTGAGATTTTGTTAAGTTCTGCTAAACTGCCTTACAAGTCTAATCCTGTATCATTGCGAGAGTTAAATTTTGGAAGCCAGCTGTTCCATTAGACATAGATTTCTACCACTGAAATATATTGTCACATCTGGTTCTAGTGATTTCTTTATGAAAAAGTATGGCCAGATTACATAAAAGAACAGAGAGCTGGGATTTCAGATCGTGTGAACTGTCTGGGGTCTGCTTATCAATAGATGTTTGTTTCATAATCGTCTGGGAGATGTGTGGCAGAATTTGGTTGGAGACCTGCTTTTGTTATAACCTGGCAGGGATTTTGTGAGAGGGTTAATATCACTAACCCACTCACCACGAACTATTATCTACCAAAGTACCTACCATTATCCACAAAAATAAACAAAGAACCTCAGAGTCAGTGAATGATCACGCTGGCTCAGGGCAATTAGCAACAGCTGGTCTTAAAGTCAGGTTTTTCAGAAGTGATCATAATAGACTAAGCGATCAAATTAGTGTAGAATGGAGGCAGGCAATCAGCTTCCTCTCTCTGCACACTCTCCTCTCCTCATAGCCTAAGACTGCAGCAGCTCTTGGCAGGTTCAGCATTCTGTAATCGCCAGTGGAGCCTTGAGGACTCGACCTCTATCCAGGCCACTTTCATACTTGTTGAAGTTCCATCCCCACCCTGGGCAAACTGCTGGGAGTTTTTTGTTTCACCCAAAGATAGCTTTTCTATCTAGAAAAGACTATTCAGTCATTTATTTTATTTTGAAAAATTGATATTCACTTTATTAAAGTCACCAATTTTTAATAACCTCATTCTTCCTTAAGCTTTAAGTTCAATTTATAAATCCTGTTATTCCAGTTATGCCTAGCACTTTTAGCAATCACTCTAATTGCCTTTGAACAATACTTGATCCCATTAAAAAACTAGTTAAATACTTTCACATATTTTATACTGCATATATAAGTTTAATGCATTTTATTTCTCTTTAGAGTAATTCAATTGCCCAATTGGCAAACTTTCCCAAGGACTAAGTAATCTATATAAATCTAATAAATTAAGCTTATAAATATCGTGAACTCTGAGTTCTCTTAAGTGCTACATTATTATATTATACATATAGTTAGTAAGAATTTCACTGCAAGCCAGAAGTCTGAATTAATTACTTAATTAGACATTTTAAATTGAAGTTACAATCCTATCATTCAAATGCAATTTCTAAACATTACAATAAAAATTGAATATTATTTCCATAATTCAAAAGTATTAATATCGCTGGGTTTTAATTTTCTAAAATATTTCTCTACTTAATTTGCAATTCTGAGATTGAAAGATGCTTATCTCTTAAGGAGGGATAGAACCACCCTAAAGTAGGTACTAATGACCAGAATTTTTGGCTTGGGCCCTAATGGGATGCAATAAATCTCATTTATATGATTCCATAAATTCAAGGAAGGTGTGGCACATGGCCTACGTCTTTGGATTTAAGCCATATACATTACCTATTTCTTCCTTAGTCTATTCACAGAAATCTACAACTCTCTTGTTCGTGCCAAAATGATCACATGATGGACTCTTTGTCTCTCAATATATGAAATCAACTTCCTGCCCAGGCCTAAAGATCTTTGACCATGGCTAGATCCCTGCATTCTTTTTCATTGATTTTCTAATATTACAAATATTAAAATGAATTTTGGATGTTTCCTACGTGACTGGAAGTCATAGTTGATATGGAAATTTTACTGACAGACTTGTTTTTAACCTAATATTTGGTTTTTATCTGACTTAGTATGAAATCATTTTGGATCCAAACTCTGCTCTCTTCTCCAGTTTCATGTCATCCTTGAATTTGATAAACTTGTCATTGTTATCTAAGGTTATGATAAGAATGTTGACTAAAACAGAACCCCATATGGCACTTTGGGAAGACTCTCTTCAGTTTGTCTTTGGTCCATAAATCAGCTCCCTTCAGGGATGTCATACCTGCCTGCACATGGAACTTATTTGGACAGCTTACTAAAACTCAACTTTTGGACTTCACTCTTTAGCCTAAAGGGTTGTAGCACAGGCATCTTGAACTATTTAACAACATCCCTAGGTGACTCTTAAGCAGTTGTTTTGGCATTAGTCCAAAGACCAGATTTCAAAGCTGCTGCTTCTGTTTCTCTGTCTTGACCAAGGACAGAACTTAGACATTATCCAGTGCTGTAAGTCCAGACTCACTAGGTCTACAGTACCCCCATCCACCTGTTGATTAACTACAGCCTTAGAAGAAATAACAGTCAAGGATTACTTCTCCTTATAGTGCAGACAGATTCTAAAAGATCATCTCCTATCTCGCCATGTGCTCAGGAGAATCCCCAGAGATCAACGTTAAATTCATTCACTAGTGTTCAGTATTCAATATCTGCCTTATTTTCTTATAGAGGTAGGTCATTTCCTCCCTTCGTGCTCTCCTCCTCCTCTACCACATCCTCTAGTATTGTCCTTGGTCTTCATGGTTGGTTTCTCAACAATTATCTGTGGTGGATTAGTGATCTTATTGTCAGCTTTCTCTAACCCATGAATTTTTCCAGACCTGGGGAAACAAACACCAAATAGTTATATATTTTAAAACTAATAAAGCCATATCAAAGAGAATTCCAGCATAAAGATGCACAAATTAGGCTTCCAATCAATAATACTAGTTGTCTTCAATATGTAAAAAACAATTTGTCTGGTTTTCATCTGAATACTTCATTGACAAAATGATCTTTCTGCACTTATGGTTGATAATGACTCTGCTGTGCTCTTTGTGTTCTTATTTTGTTTGGTATTCCCACAAACTTGGCCTTTTTTTTTTTCCCCACACTGCCTATTCCTGATACCCTCTTTTTCCAATCATTCTAATCTAAACATTCACAATAGAAATGCATTTTATCTTATGAAAAATACTGTCACCAGAACATCACCTCTTAAGAAACTATCTTTTCCCAATCCCCACTTAACTGACCATTCATACATAACTGGCCAGTCCAAGATGTCTGAGCATACACTTCCTGGATTTGGAGGAAGAGTGATCCAGGAGACCTAAGAGCTAGAGGGTCTGCACCAAAATTGGCCGGGGATCATGGAAGTTTCAGTCTTAGATAGTATGTGTCCAAGGGCCAGCAGAGGAATCAAAATAGTTCTTGCAGCTCTCCCCAAGTTGAGGTGCAGGAACTCTTGTGCACCTTGCCTCACATTTGTCCAGTGCATGCTGGCAATGCAAAATGAGGTTCCCTTTCACATACAGCCTGGTAGTTGACAGACAAGGACTTTACTTTCACTTCACTGCTGGGTTCTTCAGCAGTTTCCTCTTTTGAGATTTCAGTTAAGCCAAGCAGACGTTTTCCAGGTGTCAGGTTTTTCTTGTAAACATAGCCTTGTACTACTAGAGTAGGTGAGAGCTATACGCCCTCTTTGAATAATTCTCTACCTATGTCTATATTATAATAAATAAAATTAAAATGTATTATAGTGACTTAGTCTCAGACTCAGTGCTCTCTCACTTACAAATCTTTGTAAGCAAAGAGGTACCAAAACAGTAAGACAATTCATTCTCTAAACTTGCTAAAGTCCTCACTCTTCACTCTTTCTGGTTTCTTAACACACACTATACAAGAAAGGTTTGTGCTGAGTCAAAAGTAACCATGTTGATGAGGCTCAGCTAGCCTTCAGGTAGAATCAGGCAAGGGAATCATTTTCTAAGCGTCCAGGGAACACAGGACCAAACAGCATTCCAGATCAAGGGCACCATCCCCAAAGATGTTAGGCTGCTAGGTTTCCTATAACTCATTCATGCAGGGGAAAAACATCTGCCTAAATCTTCTTGACCAAATATCTATCTTGAAAAATCTCTAATTCCAGTATAGAAAAAGTATTTGCTAATATGCTTTGCCCTAATTAAAAACTCTCTGGTGCATATTTAGATAGCAGTATTTGGAGCTATTGCTCATATGTGGATTTCTGATTAGGGTGTTTCATATGCTAATTAACACCCCTAGAGTATATATTAAGGTTAATTTGCAAACATACACATGGAGCTGTATAGACTGACATATTTTACAAAAACAACAGAAATGATTATCTCTTGGCCGGGTGCGGTGGCTCACGCCTGTAATCCCAGCACTTTGGGAGGCCGAGGCGGCTGGATCACGAGGTCAGGAGATCGAGACCATCCTGGCTAACACGGTGAAACCCTGTCTCTACTAAAAATACAAAAAATTAGCCGGGTGTGGTGGTGGGCGCCTATAGTCCCAGCTATTCAGAAGGCTGAGGCAGGAGAATGGCGTGAACCTGGGAGGCAGAGCTTGCAGTGAGCCGAGATTGCACCACTGCACTCCAGCCTGGGTGACAGAGAAAGACTCCATCTCAAAAAAAAAAAAAGAAAAAAGAAAAAGAAAAAGAAATGATTACCTCTTTACAGATCCTTCTCAAGGTCTCCTGCCTGGTTATCCCTTGATGATTGCACTGCTCCTGGTAGATCCTCCACCTCGTTCAGGGTTCCCTTCTCCCCTCCCTTCCTTTTCTTTCCAGCCTCCCTAACTTTACTCCAACTTCTGCTTTATCCAAAAGCTCAATCTTCTTTATTTTCTCTCACAAAAGACCTTAATGGCCCAGTAAGAGATCTGACTATGTTTAAACAGGAGCCTAAATCTTCAGCATCAAAAAAACTGGCCTTATTTCACCAATGTATGGAGGTCTTAGTCCTCAGAAACATAATCACTCAATCCATTTGATGTCTGGGATGAACAGGGGATGTTTGCATTCTACCCCGAGGAAGGTCACTTTATATCTTAGAATGTGCCAAGAGGTAGTGAGTTGAGATTTTATCCCCAGAACAGCTTAATTCATATCCTGAATCATCTGCAATCAGCTCACCTTTATAGGTGAGTGGACAGGTGGTAAGAGGGTGAGTAGGGTAGGAGGTGGGAAGGTTCATGAGAAAGGAGGGTGCATGGGTGGAAGGTGAGAGGGTATGGGGGTAGGAGGTGGGACTTTGGGTAGTACTGTGGAAGGCTGGGCCTGCCTAGGGCCAGGGAGATATCTGTAGCACTCCAAATCTATTAGAATTCTCTGGTCCATTATATCTTATAATCCAACTGTTTAAATCCCTTCTTTCTTTTTCTCCCTTAAGCTTGGAGTCTTTGTTTAGCATGCTGATAAGACTTCTATGATTCTGGAGAAAAGGAAGCCATTTTAAGTAGAAGTAAATGGAACAAAGTTTTTGTAAATTCTTTCTATGAGAATTGTGCGAGGTACTGAAATTCTTGCCTCATTATAGAAGACGTTGTATGCAGAGAAGATCGCCAGTGACAGAAATGAGACTCAGAGAGAAAAAAAAAAAAAAAAACCCAGCAGTGTTTCTGAATGTTGAATTAAATTGAAATTCTGAATAAACAGGTAATAGGATTTGTTATTCTGTAATAGAAGCATCATATTGCCAGGCAAACTAAAAAAGTATAATTTTGTGGTTCTCATTCCTGTGGGAGTATTATTGACTCAAGTAAATGAAACTATGTTCACTGAAAAAGTATCCATAAAACCTATCAATTAGAAAATTATTGTTGAGAGTCTACTGAGTGCATCTTCTTGGTCTCCTGGAATATTTGATTTTTAGCTACCTTCAGGAAGACAGGGAGGTTGGTGTCCGCCATCCATCACCCACACATGTACGTGAGCCACCTAACTTCATAGCACCGGAACCACCCATAAGGCTTGATTTCAAATTCAGGGAGATGTTTTTCTCATTAAAAAAATTCGAGAGTTTCTGCATATATTTGCATGTTGACTTTTAAACATATGAAATCATATGTACAAAAACAAGTTTGATTGCATCTTACTGTTTTGTAGGCCAAACTCAATTGAAAGAATTGGCATGTGTGAAGAATTCTAAATTGATTAGGCTCTGAAGTATAGAAAAACAAAAAATGGGATACAGGGACTTAAACAGAAAAAAGAAGTCATTTTAAAACCTTCCTAAATTCAGAAATAGAACCATCTAAAAAGAAATTTAAACCATAAACAAGCTAATTAAATCCAAACTTTCAAAATATCCTTTTGTTTAATATGACTGTATTCCTGTATTCATTTCAATAACAGAAAGACTTTTTTTCCTCCTCACCCTGGGAATTATAGGATATTTCCTTAAGTTTATTGTCAAACTGCAGAAGCATCTGAAAAGAGTAGACACAGACTGCAGTGGAGTCTTGACATTCTAACGTCATTGAGAAACATTTCGATGTGACCGCTGTCACTGTGCGGAAATGAAAATAAATATAAAGCAGTTGATTATAATAAGATTAACAAAAGGGTGCTCGCTCCTTCTTGGTTTTAAATTTCCTCTGAAAGAAGAACTCCTTGTGTTTTGGTTTCTTACCAAATACCTATGATTGACCTCCCTTATTTTCAAAATTTACATAGCATCTGTTACTATATTTTTCACAAGTAAATTTGTTTTTCTCTTTTTTTTCCAACTATAAAGACAAACGTAACTGGGAAAATAAGTTCAAATGTTTTAAGAAGGTGAAACCATCCCCAAATCACATAGCCAAGAGACAACCTCTTTATTTTCCAGATCTCTCTGCTTACATATGTAACTTATTATACATATCTCATGATTTTGATTTCAAAAGTCAAATTCTTTTAGCTATACTGCAGGCAACTTTTTTTTTTTTTAACTGAACAACACATTGTGAACATTTTTTCATGCCAGTTTATGCATCTCTTTCTTGTTTTGAATGTCTGCTTAGTATTCTGGGTTTTTTTCCCTATATCATAATTTAATTAACTAGTACCATATTGAGAGACTTTTAAGTAATTTCAACTCACTCATTATTATAGACAATTCTGCAATGAAAATAATTGCGTAAATTATCTTTGTGACCATGTGTAGGCATTGCAGTAGCGAGGCAAGGAAACGGATTCTCCTCTAGACCCTCCAGAAGTAAAATTGTAAGGAAAAAGAATAGGCAAAATTAAAGTTTTCAAACCTTTTACCAAACTACCCCCATAAAGATTGTACTAATTTATACACCACTAAAAGCAAATTTGAGGGCTCCAGTATATTTTAAGCTTCCTGTGTATAAGTGCATTGTGCTAAGCCATTACAGATGGCATGATGCCGTATCATGAGTACCTATGCCATATGGAGCTACAACCTGGCCCTGCAGAGTTCACAGGGCCACATGTGCAGCCCCACTGCTCCGGAGCACAATTCGGTCAGCTACTGCAAGGAAAGCAAACATTTCTATGGCTTGGCTTTCAAATCAATGAAGCCCTTCTTTGCAGTGGAGCTGAAGTTTGGGGCTCTGACTCAGAGCCACTGGACCCATTTACAAGTTATTGGTGAAATACCAAGCCTGAAACCTCAGAAAGCTGATGTTTCTAAAATGGAAGGGAGCCAGGATGGAGAGGGTTGTGGTTTACTTAAGCCAACCAGAAACTTAAGTTCTACTCCTAATTTTATTGTTGAACCTTACTGAGGAGGAACAAAAAAGAAGTGTAGCTTTAATGGCTTTCAAACTTCAAATACTCTGAAATACACACACACACTCACCTACACACAAACATATATACACATACATATCCCCCAACGAACACATACATACACACACACACACCCACAAACATATACAGATACATACAGAGCATAGAAAGTACATTTATTCATTCATTAATTCCCATTCACCCAACACTTACTAAGCTACTATATGCCAGGCATTGTACTAGATAAATAGAGAAGGAGGAACTGGTGGGGAACAAGGCTTGTGGCCAGACTGATGCTGTGAACCCATCTCTAGTGGCCACTAAATGTGTTAATTATTCAGAACCACTTTTCTCTACAGAGTAGAAATTTTTCTTGAGAGGGTAAAGGGCATGACTGTTGAGCAAGGCCTGGGAAAAAGAATGTGGGTCTTGGAGTTTCAAGCATAGTTGGGTGAAGAAGTGGGAGGGGCACTCTGTATGCAAGGAGACAAGTACACAGCAACAAGAAAGAACAAGTTAAGGAACAACTGTGGAGAAAGCAAGCAGGGAGGTTTAGGGCAGGCTAAGGAGCATCTCTAACATGGGGCCGTGGTGTTTGAACTTTTGTAGGGAAACAATGAAGGAGTTTGAGGAGGCCAGCAACATCATGTGCCATCTGTATTCCTATGTTCTCTGCAGAATTAATGTGCGAAGCTGCCAAGTGCCATTTAGCTTCTCCAGGGGCTGGCTGGTAAAGGACATGGACAATTCCTGATACAGAAAGACAGGTGCACCCTCGGGATTTTTGGATGCACAGCTCATGTGTTTGGACCTGTTATTTTGGCATGCAGAGAGCTGACTTGCATGGTTTTCAGACTAGGGTGGCATAATGGGATGGATAGAACGGTGAAGAAGTACTAGAGGAACATACAGTATAATGAACACTGGACTGGAAGTCAGGGGACTTGAGTTCTATACACAACTTCCCAGCAATGAGCTATACCACGCAAACTTGAGCAAATTAATACCATATGTTTCTGGGACTCAGTTTTCCCACCTGTGAAATAAGGGTCTGAGGTGGGCCATGTTTGGCAGGGGTCAGGTAAGAAGTTCAACTGTGCTGATGACACCTGAAGCACTTTCACTATGACTTTAGGCTTGGAAACCCTGGGTTTCTGGGCTAAGAACGATGCTTATAACAGACAACACGGTACAGCTCAAGTTTCTCTTTACCCACTCATCACTAAGTGATCACATGCCTTAGTTTATTTGTTAGCAAACAACAGGTCACTGAGCAAACCTTACTGGCTATTTGGTCCAACAGCACAAGCCAGGAGTTCAGAGCCAGGACTGATGGATACCATTGCTGAGTTGCTAGATGGGAGGCAGGGGGCACTGTTGGGTGGATGGTGTTCTTGAGAACATGGATCTTTGCTGAAGACTGAGTGGAAGAAAGCAGAAAGGGAGACCACAGAAAGAGGGGAATACAGCAACGTATGTTTGATCACCTATGCAGAGACACACTAAATTAAGAAGCAAACAGCTTAAAATAAGCAGCTAAGTTTCTTACAGATTATAAGAAAAACTGGGCTTCAAAAAATTAGAGTATTCCCCAGGAATTCACATTTATGATAAACATTAATTTCCAGATTTCAAGGAGACTGACCATATAAGTCATCCATTAAGCAAGGATTTCTGAAGCAGCCCTAGGCTAAGGGCTCTTCTAGCTGTGTAAATTGGAAATCAAGATTTCACAGGTAACCCAGGGTCAATGTTGAGAGTTCAGTTTGTGTATTTTGTTGGAAAATACTAGAATACCAGGCTTTCTTCCTGAGACTGGATGTGGGGCAGGGAATTTGGCAAGATATAGAGTTAATTCAAGTTCAGACACTGGCAGGAGAGCAACTTTGACACAGGAAAACCTTTTTGACGGCTAAATATACAGACAACACTGCCTTTCTTCCCTGGAAAACTTTGATGGTTGTGCCTCACTGAAGCCTTCCAGGGAGATTTAAGAGAACAATTTCTTGTGGTTCTGTCTAGCTTTTATGATTTGATGAATTAAATAGGTCTCCCTAGATGTCATTCTCAACCAAGGAGACTAAAGGAGAACCCGGGGTAATGCCAGGTCATGTTACAGTATAAGAATAAAAGCCACGGGAGACAACTCAGTAGAAAAATCATCATTTTTTAAACTTTGTTTTTTGCTGTTTTGATGCAAGAGAATCAGTGAATTAGAGAAATAAGCCTGGGCCAACTAAGCCTATTACTACAAGGCCTTTGGCTATTACTTGCTGACAGATTGCTTCTGACTCAAAAATTCAGAACTTGCTCACCATTAACTGCATACTTGATGCTTATGCCAATAATATTCTTTGTTCCAGAAAGTAAAATTCGGAAAACTCTGAGGGGACTTTGAAGTAAACTGTGAAGCAAGTGGCACATCAACATCCTGGATGCTTTGTGTAATTTTCTCTGTCACCATTAACGAAAAGAATGAAGTACTGGCAACCTGCCAGAGAAATGTTCAACGACGGTTTGAGTGCTTCACTTTGAGTGCATTTGAATGAAGTATTGGATGCCTCCAGAGGTATTTGGTAAGTCGAGTGTAGGAAGCACAACTTGTTGTCTCATAACCATGCTCCTACATGCTGGGCCTAGAGGCAGGAGCTTCCTTCCTTTCCTGATTTTACCCCTGCAGTCCTTTCCATCCTCCCACTCCTGTGACCTCTATTAAAATCTTCTAGAGAGTTAGCATCTAGAAGACAGCCTAGGGTTTCCAGAAAGGCAGTCAGTTAAAGATGATGCCACACTTTGCAGTGGGTTAGGGAGAGTATCAGAGTAAGGAGGAAAGAGGCTGTTACCCTGACATCGATGTCCATCATGTCATTGTATTTTTCAACACTTTAGGGCTGAAATATGAATGCATGTTAACATCTGTATGAACACCTGTTACGGGCTGAATCGTGCCCTCTACCCTCCCCTAAATTCATATGTTGAAGCCCTAGTCCCCAGTACTGTGGCTGTATCTGAAGATAAGGTTTTTAAAGAGGTGATTATAACGCCATCAGGAGGGGCCCTAATCTCATATACCTGGAGTTCGTATGAAGACAAAGAGACACCAGACACCAGGGATGCACATGAACAAAGGCAAAGCCCTGTGTGAGGACACAGTGAGAAGACAGCCCTCTGCAAGCCAAAGGGAGAGGCCTCAGGTCAAGCCTGCCAGCACCTTGATCTTGAACTCCTGGGCCTCCAGAACTGTAAGAAAATAAGTGTCTGTTGTTTAAGCCACCCAGACTGTGATATTTGTTATGGTGGCCCTAGCAAGTTAATTCAACTTTAATACCGGCAAACTCTCCCACTTTCTGGGTAATTTTTCCTTTTAATTCAAACAATGATGACAACAAACAAACATAATAATAGTCCGATTCTGTGCAATGTGGAGATGTGGTCATATAATATTCTTCTCTACCCTCCTTTACCTTACCACCTTTAAGTAAATTTTTGAGAATTCGCTTAGGAATGCTTTTATGTTCCATTAAACTACTCGGTCATCTCTGGAATCCCCAGCCAGCTTTTTTGCTCTGGACTGGGATTTCTTTTCTTCCAGTCATTCATCTTTTACCATCTCATAACTTGCTTCCTCCTTAGGTATGGACATTAGATTCTCTCATATGGGCATTGGTAATTCCTTGAAGTACCAGCTAAAACCATGCAACAATGTTTACCAAAGGATTGTTGTAGTACTGGGCATAAGAGGAGACAATTAAAATGCAAAAAGAGAACATTCAAAACTAGCTTCTAGGAGATATCCTCTCTAGATTTTTCTAGGGTTTTTTCACAGGCTGTCTCATTCCTTAGGCTTCCTGCATTTTGTCATGAAGGGCCCACCTAACCTGTATGTACTGAAGGACTGACCTTGTCTTTTAGCCATTATTGAGGCCTCCAGAGTCATCTCAGTCCCAAGAAAAAAGAAATGTTTTCTTTTATAAAGATAGGATCAAGCTGCTATGGCTTATTTTCTGCCCTTGATAGAAAGTTGACAGAGGAGAATTCTCCTCCCTTCAGAAGACATCCTCACATCCACTCACAGCGTGCGTACTTGCCCAGAGCAAGGGAATCCCAGGATTCTGTGTTTCATTTTCAAAGTCTTGCCCACAGTTGTGTAACTAATGGAAATAGTAACACATGACAAGTCACTCAAAATAAGCTGTTCTATTACATTGGCTAATGAAAAATTAATTTTAACAAAATTGCAAAATGTCTTTGGCACATGAGAGATGACATTTCTTGACTTAGTAGAGAACAAAATAATCATGTCTCAGCGTATCGCTTTCCCAAAGATTCTCTTATTGGTGGCTGAAAGTTGTAAACTAATAAGAAAAAATCCCCATGAAAGAAGAACATTTGGGGATAAGAAGACATGTTACTCGAGAGTACATACTTTTCTCACATTCTTTCCAACTTTAATCTTCTAATATCCTCACTGTAGTGATGACAACCACAACATAGATTTTCTGACCTATATTGGTAACAGCATTCTGCTGTAAAAATAACAGCAGCAGCAACAATAACAGTAATAATTTAGATACCATGTATTCGGGTCATCAAATGTGAGAGGCACTATGTTACTGCTTTACAAATGTTATCTTAAGTAATCTTCATCATAACCTACTCTGAAGTAGGTAACATTACTCCTATTTTAGAGATTAATAAATTAGATGTAGAAAAGTGAAGTAATTTGCCCCTTAATCCCACTTCTCAGAAAGTTTTTGTGTTTACTGTTACTCTCTTTTCTTTTCCTAAATTGATTCTAGGGATATTCTTTTGTCTAAGAGAACATGATGCTGACAATATTTTATTTAATTCCGTACTGGCATTCCTCTTAGCCAGAGTAATAAATAACGTCAGATCTCCCCTCCCACCCCACCTCCCAGGAAAACCTAATATCCTGAATTGATCTTGGAAACATAAAATGGTCTTAAAGTTAGCTTCTTTCAGATTGGTAATTTAATTCAACTGGGCCAGGATTCAATGAGGGGCTAGAAAGGCCACAATGTATACTATGCTACGAGAATACAAGGTTGAGCAAGAGACTGTCCCTGCTTCACAGAACTTGCATTAGTATTGTCACCAAAGCCTCCTCTTTAGGGACAGGTTACATGGTACATGCTTTCTGTAAATGCTTCAGGTACAATTCTATGAGGCGCTAAGCTTATCCTTTGCTCTCTGAGAATAGGAATCAAATTCAGCCACATGATCCATTTGAAACATTGTCTAGAAATAGTAAAGGACCAGTGACTCTTCATAAGTGATACTCCTGGCATTTGGTGGTCAAATGTTTGCAGATAAGAAAAACCTCTTCCTTTCTAATCACAAATGGAAATACAGTAATTGCTAGCTGGATTCCTGCCTAAAGAACCTTTAGGGGAAGGGCTGAGGTGAAAGGCTGCAGACTAGTCAGCTAATGAGAAAGCACAACCCTGGGGCAGTCACTGGTCTGAGTAATACTCAACTTACTGGCAAAACATTGAGTAAAGAAATTAGCAGATTGGGCAATGATAAACCATGGGCAGGCAAAGGTTGTGAAGCTACTAAGATTTCTTGGGTTGGAAAACAATGTCAAGAAATTTAACATTGCAAAACAGCATCTTATTTCAATGGGAAAAAATATTCTGGTACTGCATTCAGAAAAACTAATAAATACTAATGGCTACTTCTAGGGAGTGATAGCCATCCAGTGAGCCTAAGGTTGGGATGTTTTTACTGATCCTAAACCTAAGAGGGGCAGTATTGGTCCTGTTTTTAAGATGAAGAAACAGAGACGATAGAGGTCTAGGGTTGGGTCATTCCCGCTCATGACAGCCAATTGTTAAATTTTCAAATTTTCAAGAATTTTTTTTTCTTTCTTTCTTTTTTTTTTTTTTTTGGAGATGGAGTCTTGCTCTGTCCCCCAGCCTGGAGTGCAATGGCGCAATCTTAGCTCACTGCAACCTCCGCCTCCTGGGTCCAAGTGATTCTCCTGCCTCAGCCTCTCGAGTAGCTGAGATTACAGGCAAATTTTCAAGCATTTTGAAAGCTGATTATTAAACTGTTGGTAGTTTGAAATCAACCATGGTTGGAGTCTTTATACTGAGGAAAGAAGCAAACACTACAAATTAAGCCTGTTGTTTTCTTGTGGAGAGCTGGTTTTCCAGCCCACTGCTATTCAGAGAGTTTAGTTATTTGTTCAAAGTCACACTATTCTATAGTCAATCCAAAATCTGAGTTTTAATTTGCTATGCTATATTGATTTATTCCCACTGTAAGAGGAGAGATATAGCTTAAGCTATCCAAATGCCTGATAATAGAAATTGCCAATCATTAGGTATCCTTCCATGTACCAGGAATTTGTAACATTTCACATTTTCCAACTTTGCCATAGTGTTCATACTCTTTCTCAATTTCTGTTTTTAAGTCTTCATCCGACTCTTCTGCATGAGCCATGTTCTTAGCGACACATTATAGTAAAGCACTTAAGAATTTCTGCAAATTAACTGGAAACAGATATTTTGGAGGCATCTATGTAGTGTTGCTAACATTGACCTTTCCTCCTGACTTGCTAGTCTTACCTATGACAACTTGGAACTCCATCCTTGTTCTTGTTTCCCAAGGCTTGGCCCTTTCAAACACCATAGTTCTGTGTGTTTTTATGCATTACCATTTCACCCTTGTCATCAAAGGAGGAGTTTCCAGGCCACTAGAGATCTTCCCAGTGAGGGAGGAAGGGCAGCTTTAGAAGATCATGAACGAGGTTTGAGTATTCTTTATATGAAGACTCCTGTGTAACTCTTTTCCTTTCTCTGGGGCAGAGGTTGGTGGGGCAATGGCAGTTCTGACCCTCCTTCTTTCCTCCTTTCTTGCTTATAAATTTTCAACTTCATCAGCACTTGTATCCAGTGATCTTGAAAATCTGTAACTGCCTCTTTCATCTTTCTTCCTTTTTTTTTATGTCTTTCTAGAGCTTGATGTCTTTTTATTTCCTCCCTTTGGCATTTTTCTTCTTTCTCAAAATCATTCAGAAAATATGGGATTATAGTCTTAACTAGTGCAATCAAAACTTCTTCTGAAATCTCACCATGTACAGGGTTATCTAGCGTGGGTGCCAGGTGGTGTGTGTAGCTACAAGCACCAGTCATCTGATGAGCTGCTCCCTTTTAGGCTCCAAAGATTATACTTTGTTTTGTCCTCTGGCTTTTTGCTTAAGTGAGATAACTGCTTTCTTCACATGTTAATAAGAAGTGTAGTCAAATTGGTTGGGCGTGGTGACTCATGAGTGTAATCTCAGCACTTTGGGAGGCCAAGGCAGGCAGATCTCCTGAGGTCAGGAGTTCGAAACCAGCCTAACTGACATGGAGAAGCCCCGTCTCTACTAAAAATACAAAAATTAAGCGGGCGTGGTGGCACACGCCTGTAATCCCAGCTACTCGGGAGGCCAAGGCAGGAGAATCGCTTGAACCCGGGGGGTCAGAGGTTGCGGTGAGCCAAGATCGCGCCATTGCACTTCAGCCTGGGCAACAAGAGCAAAACTCTATCTCAAAAAAAAAAAAAAAAA